TCTATTTACAATAATATGAGTCTTGTTTCTCAGTGAAATGCCAATGCTTCTTATGAATAGAAATAAAATTAAGCTGAGTAGTTTCAAGGCTTAGTTTTAGATATGATGTACTAGGACAGTTTGAACAGTACAGTGCAAGCAAGCACCATGGTTGAAAGGATGTGAGGAGCTCAGTCACAGAATGTTCAGATCTCTTACCAGATTTTTCCCAAAGCAGCATTTCATATGTATGTTATTATGAAGCTATTATTCACATATGGCTGTCATCCCATGGCTTCAAACTATACGAAAAGCCCAGTAACAACAATGTCTGTAACATACACCCGTCTTATTCTAACACTTAAAATCCATGGCTTCAAGGGGATAGTTCTGTAATGATGGGATATTATGTGCTCAGGTGGTCTTTGATGACAGGTGGTCTCCAACAACAGATGGCCTCAAAGGAGGAACTTCAGTGCATTTTAGTTTAAAACATTTACACATTTCTTTAAAAAAAATTTGAAACGTTATCCTTGTGTAATGTTCTTAAGTATTTTAGACAGAGTAGCCAAGTTATTAACACTGACAGATGATAAATCAGGGCATCCTTTAAAAGGTGGGTGATGGTGATTATGTGGTCTTGGAGCTTGCTTTGATCAGAAGTGACAGGCCTGTAAGGTCTGTGCCACTCAATCCCCCCTGAAGGGAGATCAGCACCTGTTTGCACTTTGAGGCTCCTCTACCTCCCACTGCCTTCCAGCACTATTTCATCTTTTTTAACACACTTGATGTTGATTGGCTTTAAGCAAAGTCATTATTCATTTACAAAACACTCCTTGATGGAGCTTACTCATAACTGTATTTCAGTAGCAGGGTTTGTGCTGTTGCAGCTCAGGTTGTAGGAACATTCCGATTACAAATACTTGATTTTCAGTGAGCTACAAGCTAAAATCAGCCTGGGTGCCAATATTAACCTGGTTTCATTTTTTTGTCCAAACAATAGTATGTATTGCCCGTGAATCTGTTCATCTGGAGCTTTCTGTATCTTTACATTTTTATACACAACAGGCATATGATCAGGTTCGTGAAACAAACAGGTCCTAGTTTGGTGGATCAAATTTTACCTTAATAAATACTGTTCCAAATAGGTTTGTCTTACTTGTGAACTGTAATGGATGTCTAGAAAAGAGCACAAAACAAGGCTTTGACTTCACGAGTGGCCGTATGACAAATAACAGCAATGAGTCTCCACT